AATATATACCGATGCAACAAAATAATAATATGCAAAGTAGAGTTATTTTTTACTTGAAATTCAACAGTAAATACATAGAAGCACAGCACTCATGAACAGATATAGAGTGGAGGTGTAGAGAAAGAAAGGTAAGGTAAAGATTAAAAGTTGATATTATCTAATTCTCTCTTTGCAGTGATGGAAAATTGGATGATAACACTGACTGCTTACAACAGTGGAACAACTTTCCTAGTACCAAGACAGGGGACGTGGGAAATGATAGTTTGTACATGGGATTTTCTTGAACAGGTGACCCTTAAAGCAGGTTTTACTGTACCTTATCTAGTACTTTTAGTCGTAACATTATAAAGTGTCGATTGCTCAATCTTCAGTCAGTCAGTCAGTTACACACCAAGGCCTGTGTTGTCCAACACTTATATAGTCAGTCAATTACACTCCAGAACCTATGATATCCAACACTAGTCAGTCAGTTACACTCTATAACCTCTGATATCCAACACATAATATTATGTAGTCAGTCAATTTCACTCCAGAACCTCTAATATCCAACACATTTTATGTAGTCAGTCAGTTATACTCTATAACCTCTGATATCCAACGCCTATATAGACTGTCAGTTACACTCTATAACCTCTGATACCCAACGCCTATATAGTCAGTCAGTTACACTCTATAACCTCTGATATCCAACGCCTATATAGACAGTCAGTTACACTCTATAACCTCTGATATCCAACGCCTATATAGTCAGTCAGTTACACTCTATAACCTCTGATATCCAACGCCTATATAAACAGTCAGTTACACTCCATAACCTCTGATATCCAACGCCTATATAGTCAGTCAGTAACACTCCATAACCTCTGATATCCAACGCCTATATAGACAGTCAGTTACACTCCTTAACCTCTGATATCCAACGCCTATATAGACAGTCAGTTACACTTCATTACCTTTGATATCCAACGCCTATATAGTCAGTCAGTTACGCACTATGGCCTTGTTTGTCCAACTCTTTTACAAATGTGAGACATCGTGGTGAAATCAGGCGCTCGTCAATATAACGAAATTGAAGAAACCAACATTTTTCCGGAGGTTGGTCTATTCTTATTGATGTTCATGTTTTGACTCAACACCTTGTATGTCCTTTTAAAAACACATTTCTGTTTGGGTTTTACTGAAAAAAACATAGATCGAAGCCACAGAAAGGTAAATTTACGATTTCCAAGGCCACTCAAGCTCTGGATGTCATCAAATTTGGCAGCCATTTTCTCGCTAGTTTACCTCTGACACCCCACCTCCTTCGATCGCAAATATCTCGATTTCTAAGCAAGATAGATGGTCAGGTTTTTCCCCCATCAAATTAAAGACAAATGGACACGTTATATTAATATTGATAACTCTATGCTCAAATATTGGACAAGATCCTTGCTCCACCACCTCGTGACATAAATAATCAGGGACACTGCACGGCGTCAATTGTCCAGTCCAGCGTCCGGCCGACCAACCGTCCCTGGTTTTGCCTGGTGTCATAGCGGTAGAAGTCGTTCCCTTTGAAGGCGTAGACATGACCATCATGCATCAGAGCCGCGTCCACATCACAGGGGAACCCTAACTGTTCTGGGCTCAAATCCGGTGAGGAAGGATTATGTACGTGACAACCTGAGGAAAATAATATTATAAAGATTGAGAAACGTTTAACGAGTTGTGTGTGTGTGTGTGTGTGTGTGTGTGTGTGTGTGTGTGTGTATGTGTGTGTTTGTGTGTGTGTGTGTTTGTTTGTTGTTTTGAGTTTTTGTGCCTCCATCTTTTATACAACACAGCGAAGATGAACAACATGTGCAACGGCAACTACCAAAACAGCTACAATAACAACAACAACAACAACAATAACAACTATAACAATAGTAACAACAACAACAACGATTGTATCATCAACAGCAAAACCAACAACACTAGGACAACAGAGGTGAAAAGAATGTTTAAACAATTAAACATATTGTTATATTTATTTATGCAGATAAGCACACCATTTAAGAAAAGGGAACAACACTGCTATCTGCAGTGATACGTGACATTAATTTTTCACCAGTATAAATTATTCGCTGTTAATTTTTAATCTATTCTCTACTCTCCTTTCCATTATTGTTAGCTACCTCAGCAAACTATTACTCAATGAGTAAGATAAGTGACCAGATTTTCAATAGACGAGGAGCGGGAATACTGAAGACAATGATTATTATTGCTAAATTAATGTTGTTGCTACTCCTGTTTTTACTGCTGGTGTTGCTTCTATTGCTACTGCTGCTATTTTTTTCGCTACTGCTGCTGCTGCTGTTGCGGTTGCTGCCTCTATCGGTGCTGCCGCTGTGTGTTTACACTGCTTCTGATGATGATGTTGCTTCTGCCATTGACTCTGCTCCTGCTCCTGCTGATGCTTCTGAAATTACAAGGAGAATCCAGACGGTAGAGAACAGCACAGACAACTCACCTTCAAAGAGAATCTGCATCCCATTCCACGTGAGAGCGGCGTCTACGGGTGTGCACGGGTCTCGAGTGATCTCTGACCCGGAGACAAGGGTCAAAGTAACGGGGTCAAGCTCCACTTTACGGCAGCCTGTAAAGTTTATAAGTAAAGTGTATGTGTTTAATGCCCGAGTCGGCAGAGACAACAGAAATACAGCAATAATTGAGAACAAACGAATAAAGCTCTACCTTCCGCAATCTAAATGTAGTGCAGCCCCTAAACAAATCCCCTGCCCCACCCCCTCACCCACTCCAGGTGAAGGCAGCCCTGATCAGTCATCTCCACACACCCCCAACCTCCCTCCCGAAACCTTTAAGAAAAGGGGAAAAGAACAAAAGTTTCGGGGAAAGAAACTGAAGTTTTACCTTGTAATACACGTACTTTCCGTAAAGTTTTACCTTGTAATACACGTACTTTCCGTAAAGTTTTACCTTGTAATACGCGTACTTTCCGTAAAGTTTTACATTGAAATACACGTACTTTCCGTAAAGTTTTACCTTGTAATACACGTACTTTCTGTAAAGTTTTACCTTGTAATACACGTACTTTCCGTAAAGTTTTACCTTGTAATACACGTACTTTCCGTAAAGTTTTACCTTGTAATACACGTACTTTCCGTAAAGTTTTACCTTGTAATACACGTACTTTCCGTAAAGTTTTACCTTGTAATACACGTACTTTCCGTAAAGTTTTACCTTGTAATACACGTACTTTCCGTAAAGTTTTACCTTGTAATACACGTACTTTCCGTAAAGTTTTACCATGTAATACACGTACTTTCCGTAAAGTTTTACATTGTAATACACGTACTTTCCGTAAAGTTTTACCTTGTAATACGCGTACTTTCCGTAAAGTTTTACATTGTAATACGCGTACTTTCCGTAAAGTTTTACCTTGTAATACGCGTACTTTCCGTAAAGTTTTACCTTGTAATACGCGTACTTTCCGTAAAGTTTTACCTTGTAATACGCGTACTTTCCGTAAAGTTTTACCTTGTAATAAACGTACTTTCCGTAAAGTTTTACATTGTAATACACGTACTTTCCGTAAAGTTTTACATTGTAATACACGTACTTTCCGTAAAATTTTACCTTGTAATACACGTACTTTCCGTAAAGTTTTACCTTGTAATACACGTACTTTCCGTAAAGTTTTACCTTGTAATACACGTACTTTCCGTAAAGTTTTACCTTGTAATACGCGTACTTTCCGTAAAGTTTTACATTGTAATACGCGTACTTTCCGTAAAGTTTTACCTTGTAATACGCGTACTTTCCGTAAAGTTTTACCTTGTAATACGCGTACTTTCCGTAAAGTTTTACCTTGTAATACGCGTACTTTCCGTAAAGTTTTACCTTGTAATACGCGTACTTTCCGTAAAGTTTTACCTTGTAATACACGTACTTTCCGTAAAGTTTTACCTTGTAATACACGTACTTTCCGTAAAGCTTTACATTGAAATACACGTACTTTCCGTAAAGTTTTACCTTGTAATACGCGTACTTTCCGTAAAGTTTTACCTTGTAATACGCGTACTTTCCGTAAAGTTTTACCTTGTAATACGCGTACTTTCCGTAAAGTTTTACCTTATAATACGCGTACTTTCCGTAAAGTTTTACCTTGTAATACGCGTACTTTCCGTAAAGTTTTACCTTGTAATACACGTACCTTCCGTAAAGTTTTACCTTGTAATACACGTACTTTCCGTAAAGTTTTACCTTGTAATACACGTACTTTCCGTAAAGTTTTACATTGAAATACACGTACTTTCCGTAAAGTTTTACCTTGTAATACGCGTACTTTCCGTAAAGTTTTACCTTGTAATACACGTACTTTCCGTAAAGTTTTACCTTGTAATACACGTACTTTCCGTAAAGTTTTACCTTGTAATACACGTACTTTCCGTAAAGTTTTACATTGAAATACACGTGCTTTCCGTGAAATCTTACCTTGAAATACGTGTACCTTTCGTGAAATCTTACCTTGAAATACGTGTACCTTTCGTGAAATCTTACCTTGAAATACGTGTACCTTTGATGATCTTACCTTGAAATACATTGTTTGTTTGTTTTTGTAAAGTGTTTTATGGCGCTCGCAACTGCATAAGGTCATAGAGCGCGCGGGACACACCTAATATTTTCAGTTGGTAGGAAATTTTGAATTTTGCCCGGGTGGCGGCCGAAGCCTACTCTTATCGATTTTAGACCACCAAGGGATCTTTAACGTGCGCAACTTGCACACGGGCCCTCCGAGATTTTTTGCCCTTGTCCGAGAAGGCTAGGTGTAGATCTTTCCTACCAGAAGATCAGGGGTGTGGCAGAAAGACAACAGTAAGAAAGAGCCAAGGAGTAACAGTATAAAGGCTGCAGAAAGAGTCAGGAGCCCAGAGGAGGGGGCAAAGGAGGTGAGGGGGTGGGGGGGGGCAGAAAGTGGAAATGAAAGCAGACAACAGAACATTGCTAGAGAGCAGGAAAGGAGGTGAAAGGAGACAATTTAAGAAAAAAACTATTTTTTGGTCGCTACCCGGATTCGAACCCGAGACCTTTTGAATGAGAGGCCAACACCTTAACCTCTTTGAAATACATGAACCTTTGGTGAGATCTTACCATGAAATACGTTTAACTTTCGTAAGATCTTACCTTGAAATATGTTTACCTTTCGTGAGATGTTACCTTGAAATATGAGGTGCACCCTCCAAGAATTCTTACCTTGAAATACGTGTATCTTCCGAGTCGTCTCATGGAAAAATGCGGAGGAGACGTCCCCGTGAGCGCTGATATTCAAGACGTCCAAAGATCTGAGGAATAAAATGTTAATTCGTCGGTCAGATGTTAAAATGTATTACGCCCAAAACTATATATAATATATATTTTTAAATTTTCAGTTTCCTAAATAATCTGATACTGGTTGCATTTGCTTAAGAAATACTTTGTCAGAATTCAAATTCTAAATGTTGGAAAATGTAAGAAAAATAAAATACATAATTTAGGTACAGTAGTAAAAAGAATGAAACAGGCTTTTTCCCTCTCTCAAGGGCAGTTTTGTTTTTTAGGCTTAGTACATTTTAACGGCTTGCCTACAATATTATGTTTTACGGCCCCATCGATACATGTTTAGATCATATAATACGAGGCAAGGCTGCTTCACGCTTGCCTGTCATCGCCTACCCATGGTTGAGACGTATACAACATCCCGGAGAGACAGACAAAGATGCTCGATCAATGCGTCTTTTGAAAAACAAAACACAAAAAACCAAGGGATTAGTACTCATGTCTTCTACGTTCGATAGTGAAGCACTTAACCGCTACACCACAGAATCTGGTAATCTCTGGAAATACCCGACGGAGATACTCGGTCAATGAAAAAAACATACCCTACAGGCAACAGTACTCAGTGCTACCTTAGAATTACAAAGTTCTACCTGAAATTGTTGCCTTTTTGAGTTACTAAGACAATGGGAATGATCCATGGGGGACATTGACCAAGATGGCCCAAAAAAGACAAAGGTGGAGATTCTTTGTTGCTGCCCTAAACGCCAGATGGCGTAACAGGTAGTAAGTAAGTAAGTTAGACAATGGGACCAGCAAACAAATACATGTATTCCATCTTCTCTATCAAACTCATAAAGTTATTCGGAGTCCTTATCAAGATGTTCAAAGAATTGCACACGAAAAAGCTTGACATATTGTGAAGCCCAAACCGTCTTACGTCAACTTTCTCTAAACTAGGTACTGAGCAGATAGAGCTTTGCAGTTCTTGGACAGCGTCATGTCTTCTGTGTTCATTGGTGAAACACCTAACCACTACACCACAAACTCAAGAAAAGTCTTAGTTTTAGTAAGAGGTTTACGGCACTTGCAACGCAATAAGGTCATATAAGTGCCGGGGGGTAGATGTGTTACAAAAGAGTAACAAACACAAAATAAAAGGAGGGGAGATAAGGACGATAGATGTTTGATAGGAAAGAAGAAGCAAACTACACCAAAGCACCCGCCAACCATCCACTCGTAAGGTCTCAGAATGCGCTTTAGAGCGAACTGCTCATTAAAAAAAAAAAGCTGTCTACTTTCGCTTACATTACAAGGTAAGAAATGCCAATTAAAAAGAGGGGAGATAAGGGCGATAGATGTTTGATAGGAAAGAAGTAGCAAACTACACCAAACCACCCGCTAACCATCCACTCGTAAGGTCTCAGAATGCGTTTTAGAGAGAACTGCTCATTATTTAAAAACCTGTCTACTTTCGCTAACATTACAGGGTAAAAAATGCCAATTAAAATACTTAGAATTAGAATGCTCTTGCTGCGTTTTCTTCCCCAGCTGTTTGATTTCTTCTAAAACGTCAGGCAAATATGA